ACAGTCAAGGAATTCCACTCCAGGATCAGCTCCTGCTATCGGTGATTCCTGCATATCTTACTGATAAAGTCAGTAAAAGCATAATTCAGTCCAGCAGTACTGCATCACATCGGATAAACTCAAAACATCATAAGCTTTTTCATGATCTGCACGTCCAAGTGCACGATAATGTTAGGTAAGCGAGTTACCTCATTCGATTCTGAGTAGATTGCAGTCGCTGTGAAAATTGATCAAAAGATTCGAGCCTTTTTCAGTATTTTGTTTGCTGATATTGTGAATTTTACCGTATTGGCAGCTCAACTGACGGCAAAGGATCTCGTCCGAACACTGAACGAGTTATACAGTAAATTCGATAAGGATGCTCAAGTAAGTTACGGTATTGTATCGACTTTCCCTTCCATGGCGATGGAATCGAGAAAAAAGTACGAGATCATCTTGCAACGATAACAAAATGAGGGTTAGGGTGTGTAAGATAATGAATGATAATGACAATTTCGATTGCATGATGAACACTTTCTGGTAACGTTTTCTTCGAGTAAAATTCTGGTATCTTTGTTAACGGGTGGGAATGGGTATTGCCAAATGGAGCGGCTACGGCATGCATAGTTCAGAGTCCGAACCCAGATCCATATCTTCGCTATACGGCTAATCCTTCCACCTGCTGAAGATCGTCTAGTTGGTATCGGACTGAACTGGGAGCATGGAATCACCGATCACCGACTATATTTTCATACCTGATCAGTAATTAGTCTTCGTTAGTAGCAAACACAGTTCACGCCTCTTCATCTCTCTCCCTTCCTAACCCTTTCCTTCTTCATTGTCTCCTTAACAAGACACGATAGGAAGATATTCAAAAAATCCTCGTGGCATGAGGACGGACCTGAAAAGATTCGTTTCGGCCTAGTGTTCTACAATGTGTTCCAATCTGTGTCAGTGTCTGATATTGGGCCGTACACCGGTCCCAACACTTCGCCTCTGCTCCTGCCCATGACGTGTCCCATTACGTTTTACCTCATAAATTTCTTGTATAGCAAGGAAATTCATCATCTGAGTCACTTATTCTTCTTTATTACTCTTTTTTTCTGAACCCCCATAATCGTTAATGTAGTTTTGATGGACTTGATGAAGGATTATTTATAGAAACTTCAATGTATGCGCATCAAATTCCTTGGCGATTGTTATTATTGTGTGTCGGGGATGCCCGTCAATCGGCCAAATCATGCCGATATGTGTGTGGTCATGGGCTTGGAGATGATCAAAACTATCAAGTGAGTTTCTGAAAAACTGGTATATACTTCCTTCGTCTAAGCTAAAGCCTTTGATATGGCCCAGATCGTCATTTTCCGAAAAGCCTCAGACATTGAACTCGCTTCGCTTATGGCAGGATTTAGCCTACTGATTGGTTCCATATGGCTATGCTTCCAACACAAATTATTTCATTTTTGCCAGAAATTTCGATGTACATATAAAAAACAAATTATACGTATAATTATCGAGCAAAATTGATGACCCTTCTCTGAGCATTTCCTTGTTTTAAGGCAAATTCGTCTAGCCACTGGTGTAGACGTTAATATGAGAATTGGCGTTCACACTGGTTCAGTACTCTGTGGAATTCTCGGACTACGAAAATGGCAATTTGATATTTGGAGTGATGACGTCATCCTAGCAAACCACATGGAATCAGCAGGAGTACCTGGGTAGGAGATGCTTCAACATACAGCTTTTGCCAAGCGGACTTTCATGTTCAGTGTCCATGTTCATAACCTCGGGTACACGAAGTGTTAAGCCTATGGTAGTGACTGTTCGGTTCCCATAGCATTTTACCTCATAAGTTCACTACATTCTACTCAGTTCCTTTGATAACCTACTTCCTCTTTTGATAGAGAGTTAGTCATGATTATCGAATGTAGTGGAGTAGTGGGGGAAAGGTAGAAGTAAATAGAGCGAAGGCAGAACCAGGTAGTCTCCCCACGTAAAAATTGTGGTTTCAACGCTCTTGAGATGAAACTTTGGACGAAAGGGTAAGGTTAAAAGCTAAACGCTCCGCACTGGCCGACGGCTTTTTGGAATGCGCCGTGCCTTCAACTTTCGTTGTAAATCGTAGGCGCATTTCCATGTCTATATGGTTTTACCATGAAATTAGACGCACAAAAAATTCTCTATGGATTTATTACCTGGCAAATAGTAATTTTAGATGGTTTCAGGGCTGTGCACATCACGAAGGCAACGAAAGACATGCTACTTGGTGATTACTGTATAGTAGACGCAAAGTGAGCGTTCTACTAATACGCTTTCCTTTATTTTGTCGTATTACTATATTTC